TATGTTCTTTTTTTGGTGGTAGTGGGGGTTTAATTTAGAGCCCTCAGCTTGCTAGACAAGCCCTCTACCATTGGAACCTCCCAGTCCTTTTTGCTTTAATCATTTTTCAGATAGAATCTTGTATTTTTGTTTGAGGTTGTCCTCTGATTGTGAGCTGGGATTATAGGCATAAGCCACTACGACTGGGCCTTCTAAAGCATATTTATTATGTTGTGATTTAAGCTTTCACCAAGTAAACACATCTAGGGGATACATCCTCACGAGAGGGGTCTGTAAGCCGAATAAGGCTGCCAGCCTGTGGTTATAGTTTCCTTTCAGGAACTCTTCAGAGTTAATAAAGAGGTAATTACATTCCATGGTATGCTTAACTACCGTCTCGTAGCTTTAGTTGAAATTATATGCCATCAGCTTAAATGGTTAGATGTTATTTTAAGGTTCTAGCTCTGCTGTTTTCTCCTTCCCTGCCCCTGCCAGAGAGAGAGACCAATTTCTCTAAATTAGGTTCTTCTGTGGGGATTACCACACACTGGCTTAGTATAATAGGCTAGAAAACCAGACTGACTTCTTTTTTCCCAGGGCTGGGGATTGTACCCGGGGCATCACACATGCCAGACAAGTTTGCTACCACTGAGTTACACTGCCAGTCTCAGATTATGTCTGACTATCTTTTCTTACTGCACAGATCTTGGGTCAAACAAAGACCACGTATGGATTTTTCTCTGTAAGCTTTCATCTTCCACTGCAATACACACTATGAATGTTTAATCCACACACCTCTGACTTAGTGCTGAAGCACCAAGAGTATTTTTAGAGTCCCAGGTTTATGGTGTTCCGTGTGATGCTGGGAAGAAGGCTTGACTTGGCTTTTGCCACTTAGGACAATGGCAATGTCACCTGGGGCCTGGGAAGTGTTGGCAAATTGTTCCACCTCTTTGAAGCCTGGCTTCCTTGTTTACAAAATAAGACTATTTGCTTCTGCAACCTCAGAGGATTCAGTTAAGAATCAAATAAGGCCATCTCTAGCCACGCCTCATACATTACCATTTTCTACGTAAGCAATGATTACTTTCTGGCTTTGTAATCCAGGACTATTTACTCAGATGTGATTGTTATATAATAACGCTGGCGAGTGTGCGCCCCTCCCCCCCACTCACCCATGCATGCATGCATGTTCCAGTGCTAACATGGTCAGAGTTTATACTCAGGAAAGGGTTGGCATAAGAAAAATCTTTATGGAGAATATGGCCAGTAGATGAAGCAACAGTGAAGTAAGATCTTATTCTCTGTACTGATAATGGGCTTCTTAAAGGAACGAGTTTTGGCTATAGCTTAGAAGCAATAGGAAATAGGAAAAGAAAAAAATGAAAAAAAAGAGACAGCATGGTGTGTGTGTGTGTGTGTGTGTATTTAACTCACATAAACCTATTCCATTGCTAAGTCCTGCTCCAACCCCTCCAATGGCCACAGGCTCTCCTAAAATTCAATAGATTCATGTAATCAATTGAACTTGAGCGCCTCTTGAAACTCAAATTATCATTTTTTAGCCTCTTAGTTGAGTATATCTGTGTTCAAATGTTAATTTCTGCTTGCTTCTGCTAAGTTTGTATTAGCAAACCACAGGTATTTCCTTGGGAAAATGGAGAGCTGCTGCCACCTACTGGACAAAGGGTAATACTTCATTAGCTTAATATTCTGACATGTAATGGAAAGCAAACTTTTTCAAAAATGGAACCTTAGCCAGGTGCTGGTAGTTCACTCATGTAATCCTAGCTACTCAGGAGGCTGAGATCTGAGGATCACAATTCAAAGCCAGCCTGGGCAGGAAAGTCCATGAGTCTTTGATCTTCATTTAACCACCAAAAAATGGAAATGGAGCTGTGGCTCAAGTGGTATAGTGTCTGCCTTGAGCTGAAGAGCTGAGGGACAGCGCCTAGGCCCAGAGTTGAAGTCCCACGACCGACAAAAAAAAAAAAAAAGGAGCATTATGCCTCTCACTTGAGATTAAATCTTAATTCTGCCTGTCCTCTAGAGAGCAATACTTTCCATCACTAAACTTGGGCAAGGGTGAGTGTCCAGGTTTATTTTGGGGGGAGGAAGGCAAATGTGCCACAATTGCGCTCATTAATAAAAGGCAGAATAGGTGAAATTTTAACAAAACATTAATATCATAATAACCCAGACCCTGAAGATAATCTGCTGGAAACTACATTTGCCTCAACCACATGGGCAGAGTTATGGAAAAAGCAAACTAGAAGATTCTCCTGACTCATCTTATTGGACTTGTAAAGAATGTCTATCTTTAGTATAAAGAAGGCCAAGTGTCCACTGCTGAGTGCTTGTTCTACCTCAGTCTGATATTTTTATTGAAATACTGATGAAAACTTGAATTCTTTTCCCCTTAGTACCAGTTTAAACTTTTCTTCTCCCTATTTGCTATTATTTCTTAGCAAATGTCCTCAGATTTGAATGTTGCAAAGCAAATGAACTCAATAGTATAATGTCATGATAGTAAATAAATTAGCTGACAACAACCTCCCCAATATTTGGTTGGTACTCTAACATCATGGCCTATAAAATATTTAAGTAAAAACAAATTTTAAAAAGGCATTTACTTAATATATGATTCTTAATTATGTGAAGTGAGAAAGTCCCTTACTTGGAATTTGTTACACATTTTTCCTTTGTCATAGTTGGCAATAATGTTCTCAAGGTAGAACGTAAGTGTCTAGTGAACTCCCTTCTATAGTGCCAGAGTTCAAATTGGAATAGAAACACTGATAGTGAACACTAATGCAATGCTAATAACTGCAGATAATTCAAAATACAAGGTGAAAAGATTGGACACAGGGAAGAAAGGCCTTTCACAGGTTAATATTAGATTATGTAATTCCGTTTCTGTGTGTTAGGTGGCACTATTGAACAAGAGCAGCTTGGTTATTGGCCAGGTCTGAAGAGGGCTGTTTATAAGAGGGCCGTTCATATGTCTGCTCCAATCACAAATACTCACATACTCCTGCCCTGAATTTGCTTGCTTATTCTGGCATTTACCACCACTGAAATTTTATCTTCTAATGACTATGACTTAGAAAAATTCTAACAGGGGCTGGGAAGGTGGCTCAGTGGTAGAGTGCTTGCCTTGCATGCCTGAGGCCCTGGGTTCAATTCCTCAGCACCACATAAGCAAAAAGAAAAAAGC